ATTGGAACAAAACGCTGTAGCTGATGGGACAGGCGCAGCGTGAGATCGGGGGCCGGGGGTGGAGGAGGGGGGAGAAAAAGAGGGGGGTGGGACGTGGGGGGCTCTGGCTCAGACGGAGCTGCCACTGAACAGGACTAATAAGTGAAGCCTCGTGCGAGACAGAAGATACGGACTCAGAGAGACAGACCCGGGAGAGATACTGAGACCTAAAAAAAACCGCCCAGACATATTAGCAGCACACGAAACAGCAAAGGTAGATACAGAGGAGAAACATAGAGGCAGACATGGAGAGATAGCGACACATAGACGTGGAGAGAGAGGCACATTCACAGAGAGATACACGCAGACACAATGATGCACAATAATGAATTCGTTAATTTTAAGGATGCCCCAGACCAGGCTTAAGTGGTCGTTCTGCTCCCTGTGTCTGCGAGCTCGACACTTTTGGCAGTCTTAGCTCCACATGCCGCACATTTGGCAGAATCACTTCACGCGCACGTCTCCCGTTTCTTTTATCTCAAGTTCTTCCCACAACGCAGCACAACGCCCGCATCACATATCCGCAACTCCTGCAGAATGCTCCACGTTCCAGTCATTAACTTTCGCTCCTTGCCGCCCGGCGCTCTCTACGTGTCCCAACTCACGCTCGGTAGATCTCGAGCGAACGACAGCTGCTGGCCTGCAGCCACAGCCATCGATGAAGGTGGCGCGGATTACGAGGCAGGTTTCAACAGAGTCCGTACGCACGCAAGAATGTGGCTCTCTGCTTTCCAAACCCGCGCTTCTCGCCTGCAGCAACATCGCCGCGCGCTCTGCTGAGATTGTCCAACGACTTCGGCATAACTCCACACCTGTGGACAGCCTCTCCAGTGCGCACAGACCAGGGAGTCATAGTCGAGGTTTTTGGGATAGATTTATGTGAATGTGTCGTTAAACCCGCCGCCACCCGGCACAGACAATTGGTAAAGGTTTGCCGCGTAAACAAAACGTGCCGATTGGTTACTAGTTCAGCACACACCGCTTGTGTGTTGGAGAGTAAACCCACAGCCTTTACAATTCGAGTGTCGCCGGTAATTACAACCAGCACCATCAGGCGACAGCCAGAGTTGACTCGGGTTGTTCACCAAAAAATACGGTAACCTTTTAGATAAACTATTGCAAGTTCTGAAAGTCGGTAAACCAGTAAGTGGTAATCGTTTAGAGTGGAATGTAAACAATAATAATAACGAATGCACTGATTGGTACCGGGTGTGGGCAGTTTAATTGGCCAGGGCTGCTAAGTGACGGTTCAGATACGCGTGTATTACTGGATGCAGTATGCGCGTGTATTACTGGATGACTTGTGTATGGGCGGGTTTCCTCTCATCACTTGCATTCGAGAGGCTGTTATACCGAAACGTCCGTAACTTGTGTTCAACTTGTGAGCGGCGTGTGTAAGCACCCCTACTTTATTGCGGCGACTTTAAAAGCCCGTGTTGTTTCCATTTGCACAATTGTGCGATAACTCTCAAACGCGCGAGGTGGATTCTGGAACTTGTAAAGACGTTGGTCTACTTCCCTGAAAGAGAAAAAACGCATCTCTCTGTATTCAATTTTGACCTAAAACTTTCGTGACTGCAGGGATTCATATTCTATGGTTCTTTCGGTAAAGTCACGTAGATACTTCTCCGTGACTTTACCGATATAACCATATAATATCTCTCTGTATTAATTGTCAACATTACAGTGCGCAATATAATCACAATGTAATCCTTTTGGGGGGGGGGATCCTGGATCTCAATGCCATTGGAGCTGTCGAATGGGAAAACGCCTCCTCTGTGGTGATCGTGGCAAGCGCTGCGCCACGGTGGGCGATGGGAGACCCGCGAAGACCATCGGTTCATCCGGCCAGACAAACCACAGCCATTGCCAAACCATAGGAACCTGTCAATCGGGCAGGTGTCTGACAAGTCGTAGAAACTGCATCGCGGAATAAAAACAATGATAACATTTGGTATGCACTCATAAAGCGTGCTTAGCAGTATCTATACTTACTTTCCAAAGCACTGCTAGCTACATTGCATGTCTACGATGCTATGCATGCGATGCCCTTGCATGGGAAGGTGTGTATGTGGATATGTTCACACTGCCAGAAATAACTTCAATCGCTCTGACAGCTACAGGCTTAGTGTGGCCTGGAAGCGTATTATTAAATAAATACAATTACAATTCCTTATAAGGGAAACAAATACCAATGAATAACAATTGAATGATCACCAATCTATATAATTACAATACCCTCCCCCTCTTTGCCTCGAATCACTGCACCAGATTGAATTGAATTAAATGATGACGTCACCCTGATGCTGCTCTATTTAAGACCGGGAGCTACAGGAGAGCTTCACCATTCTTGCCCGATGAAGCTGATTGTAATTATCAGCGAAACGTCGTACTACTCAAATTTCAGAATGCTGTTGATTCTCTCTTCAGCACACCGATGGGCTAAAGAAGTGAATTATTTTGTCCTTTGAAAAACGTGACACATTTTTAAATCCTTTATATTAAGTTCGCTTGCTTGCTTACGACCGTGCAAATCTTTCGGTCGTTTTTTAACCCACTTCCCGTGATCCAATCGAGCTGACATTTTCCACACAGACTCGTTGTGCGTGACAATTAATGTTCGTGAAATTTTACACTTTTTAGGACAAAAATATTATATTTAATTACCAATTGCTTAATGGTGCAATGCAATCATCTGACCCATAGGTGGCAGCCATCTCAAGCCAGAGGACAAGAGGACTCTTGCCGCCACGCAAATAAAGGATTTAGAGTGAAAAACTTTGTTTTTTCGGGTTATACTTATTTACTGTTTGGCCGTGTCGGGTGGTGGAGGGTTATGATACATTTATAAATAACGCGATCTGACCCAAAAACCTATATTATGAATAATATTGGTCGCGAAAGCCTACGTGTTAAATTGACTGTCACACGTGTTTGTTTGTCTGGATTATTTAGTGGATGTCTGCAGGTGCCACGTTGTGGGTAATGTTGGCTCTAAACACTGAGGTTGTTATAACCTTGCTGCGTCTATATTTTCATTTGCTGTCGATTGTATCTCCGATTAGCACGAGTGGCTACGTATGGTGCGAAATAAGTTCAACAGACCCAGGTACATCTAGAATAATCCGGACATTGAAATCTTGACAACAATACTTTACCCATTAAAGCCTTCTTGAGTTTCAACACAATACTCTTTTTATTTACAGGATTATATGGTCATTTTGAAAGCTACACCATAATTTTCAACAAATGTAAACCATTCGCAAAGCCAACATATGGATTGGTCAGTTTAACACGTAGGCTTTCGCGACCAATATCATCCATAATAAAGGTTTTTTTGGGTTAGATCGCGTTAATGTGTCGTTAAAACCCGCCACCACCCGACACAGCCAACTAGTAAGGGTTGTCACGTAAACAGAACATGACAATTCGTCACTAGTACAGCACACCGGTGTGTTGGAGAGCCAAGGCACAACGACACATTTATATATTAACGCGATCTAACAAAAAAAACTGTATTACGGGCAAACATGGAATCTAAAATAACTTCCTCGATTTTGGGTTAACTTCTAAATGAGTTAACGTGAAGATGATTAAATGGGATTCGTGTAGACTTGTGAACATTGTTCAACCAAAACAACAAGGAGACATTATTTTTAGAATTCGGTAAAAAAACCCTCAATATTTCACGAGCCTCAATGCCTCCCACTGTGTGGTTGTGAGTGCGAGACGGCGGTGGTCCTCGATAAAGACGTCACGAAGCGGCTCTTCATGAGACGCACGCGGCTCGGGAGCCGCAGGTTTGCCAACCCCTGTCCATGGTGAACTGGACTTCCATGGTAAACTGGACTTCCATGGTGAACTGGGCTTCCATGGTGAACGGGACTTCCACGGTGAACTGGACTGCCACGGTGAATTGGAATGCCACGGTAAACTGGACTTCCATGGTGAACTGGACTTCCACGGTGAACTGGACTTCCACGGTGAACTGGACTTCCACGGTAAACTGGACTTCCATGGTAAACTGGACTTCCATGGTGAACTGGACTTCCATGGTGAACTGGACTTCCAAGGTGAACTGGACCTTCCATGGTGAACTGGACTTCCATGGTGAACTGGACTTCCACGGTGAACTGGACTTCCACGGTGAACTGGACTTCCACGGTAAACTGGACTTCCATGGTAAACTGGACTTCCATGGTGAACTGGACTTCCAAGGTGAACTGGGCTTCCACGGTGAACTGTACCTTCCATGGTAAACTGGACTTCCATGGTAAACTGGACTTCCACGGTGAAATGGACTTCCATGGTGAACTAGAATCCCATAGTGAACTGGACTTCCATGGTGAAATGGACTTCCATGGTGAACTGGACTCCCATGGTGAGAGGTCGGCAACCAAAATAATAAGAAGAGCCATTTTTTCCCTTCAAATTTCAAGAGCCGCGCACTGCAGTCCTTAAACAGTCACCGCAGATTCCCCCCCCCCCCCGCCTTAGACGATACTGCCCCCCCCTCGCCACCTCCCCCACATTGGCGGTGTTGATGACACGCCCGGAGGCAGCGCGTTGAAGCACAGCGGAGGAATTCCACCGCGAGTGGGGGGTAGGGGTGGGTGGGGGGTAGGGGGTGGGTGGGGGGTAGGGGGTGGGTGGGGGGTAGGGGGTGGGTGGGGGGTAGGGGTGGGTGGGGGGTAGGGGGTGGGTGGGGGGTAGGGGGTGGGTGGGGGGTAGGGGGGGTGGGGGGTCACGCTCCCCCTGTCCGGGGTACTGCGTGCCCGGGGTTGGGACACGGAAAGGAAGGGAGGGTGAGCAGGAGGTTGATGATGATGGTGGTGGGCGTTGCATCACGCGCCTCCTGCGGTCTAGGAACACTACCTAGCCAGCTAGGTAGCCACCATACCCCGCTCGCCATACACACAGCGGCGCGTGCCTGAGCTCATCTCAAAACACCAACAGCTCTCCAGTCCAGAAGGTGATGCTTCAACGCTCATTTCCTCTGCTTGTAATTCGCGTGATTGCGCGGGTGCTCTGTTTAGAATTGCGGCGCTAAAATGCTTTTGTGAGGATGGCCCTTCAATCAACGGTGAGTGGACTTGAAAAAACAATAATAACAATGCGAATAAATCGGTGCGTGGTTAAACGCTCGCACGCCACGTGCCTACTTCATTATTCCTTGGCTGTGTTTGGCGACGTTCGGGTGATGGAAAGTGTTGTGACGGAAATTTGGCCAAAAATCAATGACGAATCACGACGTTGGGTGCTCAAAATACATTTGGAATGTAAGAACCACAACGGAGGGGCTCTTTCTTCTTGTTTTAAAAGAGAAACGTCGATCACCGTCAGCGACACGGGACTAGAAAGCAGTGATTGATTGTAAACTTAAACGACTGCAAGTTGCAATCCGGCTGGGAAGTAGAAGAAAGGAGGGGTCATTCGTGAGTAAAATTACGTCTCGTTGGGACGTTTTCTAAAGAGGCGAACTTAGCGCAACGAGACGACCTCAAACGCACCTTGCGACGTGTGCGACAGGCGAGGGCATCCCTTGGGTGGACAAACAGCGCGGACGTTGGGTTTCAGGAGCAGCACAGACCAAGTTAACCGGGAGAAGTGACGCGGGGAGGCAAGGGGGAACGACGAGATAGAGCACAGGGCCGGGACATCGTTCTTTGACTCCATCACGCGCCGCCCGAAACTTTGGAGCAGAACTTTTTTCTGCGCCATTTCTGTGCCATGTGTCGAGTGTGAGACATTGCTGGTGTGCAACTGAGATTTTTGCATTACAAAGGGAAGCCCACGTTTCTTGGATTGGTTTCCGAGAGGCGATGGAGACGATGTGTGGCTTCCAAGATGATTCGGAAAGATGTGCCGAGACTAATGAGGCTACGGTCATTGGTGAGTGGAGCGGATTGGAGAGGGATTAAAAGTACTTCTCGTAGCGACTTTAATGGAGACGACGATGAAAATGCCCGTCTTGGCAGAATTAATGGTGACAGGATTATCATGGCAGGCGTTGGAAGATAGGGGAGGGTGGGGGTGAAGGTCAGATGAGAGAAAGGCACCAGAATCTATTCTGGATGTTGCGGCTTTGTGGGAGCTCCCAAGGGTTGCGTTTTGAACGCGGGTACCACAATGGCGTCGAATATCGTTAGGGAAAGGCTGTGATCATTCTCAAACAAGAGACCACGGCGTGCCGGGCGAGACAAGAACCCTTGGGTACCTTTGATCTCCGATTAAATGAGTCAGGGCAAAGGCTCTTCAACCGCGGCAATAATATAAAGACTGGGGGGGGGGGGGGGTGTTGGGCAAGCGATCCAAGGGGCAGAGACGAGATCAAGGTCGTGTCAGCGGAGTTAGAGAGGGGATGCAAACGAGGCCCCCAAATGTCAGACGCGATCACCGCCACCTTCCGCGAAAGCGACAAATGGGTCACGCCACCGTCGCAAAGGCGAGCGTTGTCCTCACCTGATGATACAAAGCACGTCTTGAATAAAATTTTAAAAATTGCAGTGGTTTTGTTGTTGTTGTTGTCATTGATTAACCAAATTATACAGCGATATCGTTGTCGGTAGCGGTTCACAGCACGAATAACGAAAACTGACTCAGCACGTTCATCAATAACACCGCGGCCTTGAACGTAAAAGTACATGCCCGTAATCGGTGACGTTCCTAGCAAAGGGGTCCAGGTGTTTCCGTCACGGCACTGCACCTGCGGTGGAATGGTCAGCGCACCGGACAGAAACGAGGGTGCAAGTTTCTAAAATCTCTCCGGCACTGCCTCTGTCGGTAGCAACGGGTTCACCACAGCCGGGAGGTTGGTCGGCAGGCAGGTCGCGTGTGGTGGAGGTAAAGTGTGGGCACTCGCACCGCTTCCAGGACGTTTGACCCACGTGGAAGAGTAGGCAAAATACCCCCCCGCCCCCTCTCTCTCTCTCGAGCTCCCTCGAGTGGAGACCCTTCCGCCAGTCGTGGTGCACGCAGGCTATTGCAGGGCTGCGCCTGGTGCACCATTTACTGTGTAAACACACCCTGCTTAACGTCTCTCCCTGTTACGCCGTTTCGCATAATATGTCGTCACGTTGTTACTATTATTATTCACACCGCTGCCTGATCTGCATCGCCTGCAACCCACGCTTACGCCGCTAACAGCATCGTCACCCGCCCTGTCTCGTTATCCGTCGCCTCTCAAGCCTTCGCCTCCACCCACTTGTGTGCTGGACGCCGTTTCGATATTCGTCGTCGCACATTTTCAGGAACGCAACCCCCCCCCCCCCTCCCCCTTGACATAAACAGGGGGGAGCATTTACTGAAAATACATTTACATCTGACAACCAACGTTCAGCTCGTCGCTCTTTTGTGTGCGCCACGTGTCTCTTTCCTCCCAGCCCCGTGTGACTTGAGAGCTGCCGCTCAGGATGGCATCACCGCTCCTGGTCTTGCTTCTTGCCAGCGCGCTGGTCGCCTCCTCCTCCTCCTCCGGCCGGGCGTCAGCCGCCGCCGCCGCTGCGGCGCCATTCCGGCAGTCCCAGATGTTTGACTTCATGGCCGGCGGCAGCGGTGCGGTGGACGGGGAGGGCTCGGGGGAAATCATCGACGTCGCGCACAGCGGGTCGGCTCGGCCACTCCCGACTCCGCGTCCGCCCCCCCGCGCCGAGCACTCGTGCCCCTTTGGCTGCCAGTGCAACCACAAAGTTGTGCAGTGCTCCGACCTCGGTGAGAGCCCTTGAGCTATCGTCTCCAGACACCCTCGGTGTGGAACTCTTTATGTCCCTTTGCACATCCGCAACATCGAATGCGCTCCGACTTTCAAGAAACGTCTGAAGGCCCCCCTCTGTCTGTCTGGGTCCGGGCTTTCGGGCAGCCCTGAGCTTGGCTCCGCACCTCCGAGTTGTTGATTTGTCTGCAAAATCTGGGGCATTATAAATGGAATTAATATTTTATTATTATTACCAACGGCGAGGTGTTCTAAGCCCTGTGTGACATCCTGTGCACTCTCCCACATAGTCAGGCGGAAGGTTGGTTTCTTGACAGCCCGGCTGAGAGACGACAGCTGTTGGTGGCTCTTTCCAAAGGGTCACAAAAATTGCCACACGACCAGAGTTGGCTCTGGCACAACAGCCTCCCATGCTGCGTGACTTTGTTATTTCAGACATATATTGTTGAGTCCAATGTGGCTTGAAATGGCCTGAAGAGGCACACCTGGAGAGGGTTAGGAGGGATGGGATGCATGGGATGCATCTACCCTCTCCAGACATAAAATAAAAAGATAAAGAAACAAAAACAAAAATACTGCGTTGATCCGAGATGGCGGGGGAATGCTTCCAGAAGAGACAGAGGTGACGAGGTGGAAGACTGGCACGGCATTCGTGTCCCACGCTGTGTGCACGTACGTTGAACTTCTTTCGCACCGTGCGTAGCCAACCGCGTTAATCAGAGGTGCGGGGGAAGGACAACAAATTAAGCACAAAAAGCAGCTTTAAAGATATTAGTTTCTAGTCTCGACTTAAAAGTGCACAGCTCCAGTGGTTTTCCTAATATCGGAAGGAAGAGCGGTGACAGCCAAAAGCCGCTGTGAGGATGACCGGAGTTCGCGCGATGGTTTATACTCCTTGACGAGATCAGCAAGGTATTGTGGTTAATTTGTGGCAAGGACTTTGCGTGTAATGAGTGCAGCCTTATAATTAAAGTGTTCTTTCCGCAACCGGACGCCAATGCAGCTCGGCGAGCACTGCACGGACACAGGCGGATCTCGCAGCACCCCGTCACGACACGCGCCAGAGAATTTTGTGTACGCGCTGTAGCTTGCTCATGTTTTTTTTTGCCGGACATCCCGTAGAGTAGCGAATTGCAATCATCGAGCTTTGTCGATATGCTTCGCTACACGCGCCACCGCGTTGGCTGTGTCACGACTCAAGAGTGGTCGGATGTGTCGTTAGAGCGTCGATGAGAACATCGCAGGACCTGGCGCTCACCTTGCGGGGTTTTTTGTGGACGCGGCATGATTCCGAATTCGCCCCGGAGCGCGCGGCCCCCCTCCCGCCCCTGCCTGCGGCGCACTTAACGACCCCCTTGCCCCCCCTCCCAACCCCACTTCCCTCTCCTCCCCGAGTGCAGGACTCCGCGACGTGCCAAGCAAAATTCCGCTGGACACCACGCTGCTCGATCTGCAGGGCAACAAGCTGACCGAGATCAAAGAAGACGCCTTCAAGAATCAGGCCAAGCTGCACGTATGTCTGCGCACGCATGTAGGCGGGCATGTAGGCGGGCGCAGCCCTGCCGTTCCTGGAACCACGGCCGTCGTCCACGCCTGAGCCATGCCCCCGAGAGATCGATGGAGTTTGAGTTTGCGCGGTGCCGTGAGAGCACGCTCATCGCGGGCGGTTGGGATCGAGGCTCAATATCGGAGACAGTCGTGGGTGAGGGGATTTCCCCCTGGGCAGCAGTGATTTCAACATCCACACCGTCTCGATTAGAAGAGGACAGCAGGCGCGTCGCGGAAGCGTGGACCTGGCAGGAATGAAAAGTCTCATGATCGGCTGTCGCACAACGTCCAGAGATGAAATCACTTCAGTTGGAGAATCACCGTGTCCATAATGGAGGCTCTCGCGACCAATATTATAGATAATGTTGGTCGAGAAAGCCTCCTCCGTGTTAAACTCAGAATCATCTTGTCGGTGAGATCTCTCCGTACCACCAATTGTTTGGATAGGTAGAGGGCTGTGATGTACACTGCAGTGTCCACGTCCAGGTACTAACCTGGCCTGGGGACGCCGACCGGACACGAAGCCGTGCCGACACGAACGGCGTGGCCTGGTCACGCGTCGTCACCCTCGGCCCCTCTGACCGCTCGCTCGCTCCCCGCGCTCTCTAGCCCCGTGGTCTCGTGCTGGTTCAAGTCAGCGGAGTGGTGATCTCTGTTCTTCACGAACGTAATGTAGTTGAAGGCCCGTGCTCCTTTTGAAGCGCGGAGCGGAGCTGCAATACCGGACACGGCAGAATGTACAAACATAATGTCCACGCATGATGTACGTACATCATGTATGTTCATTAACTGTGAATAACCCAACCAATAATAGATATCCATTGTAATGTTCATGAATACACTCACCTGGTCTTCGCACCTAATTGTCTCACAAGTGACGACATCACCTTCATCTGCTCTGTTTATCGGTGAAACGTCACGGTACTGGAATTGTAAATATTGCGGTGGGTTTACTACAATATACACTACACTATACACTACACTATACACTACACTATAATTGTAAATATTGTAGTGGGTTCACTCTCCAACACACAACCGGTGTGTTGAACTAATAACGAGTTGGCACGTTTTGTTCACGCGACAAACCTTACAATGTAACTGTGTCGGGTGGTGGCGGCTCTAACGACACATTTATCTTTACGTGATCTAACCCCATGCATTTGTGTAGTCTTCCCCACGCTGTGCTGTAACTGATTTACCAGTACGAACAAGCAGGCGAGCAGGGCGAGTGAGGTCACGGTGCTGTGGTGACCGTGTGGACTCCCGACTTTCCAGCCCTGTGGCAACACTTGCCAGAGGCCTGGAAAAAGACTCGTACCCTCGCATTATAATATACTTGCACCCTACCCCACCCTTATAAGAGAGCGTGGAAACTAAAGACGCTTTGAAGTGTTTAAACGCTTCCAATTATCATTATGATGCAGATTTACATAGTGTCAGGCTGGGGCCATACGAGTGGACATTAAAATCCATCAATCACTCTGCTGGAAAGTAAATTACAGTCAGATATAATCAATTTCCGATAGAGTAAAACTTATACACCCACAGGATCTGAAATTTGCAAGCTTTCGTCTACTTTGCACGCGTACAACTTTAGACATCCTACCAATGGACATCTTAAACGACACATTCAGAGTTGTGTGAAAGAGTGCAGAATCAGTTTGTTATTCGTGAATAAAAAATGGGGGTTTCCTCAGCTTGCACAAATAACATTCATTTTAACCACGAACATTTCTGATGTAGATAACATTTGGATATTGCCCACAGCGCCTCTTCCACTGTCATCGGTGGCCTTGCTCCAAGCTGTAATAGCGTAGCAAGGTCTGTGCCCGAGTGCCCATTTGGAGAACACCATTGCGGCATTTTATTGATAACACCATTCCCTGGATGAATTTGGAGTGGTCGTAAATTCCACCGAAGATGGACGTGGCAAACTTCCTCCTCCACTCGTGTGCACTCAAACTGACTCGTGTGCACTCAAACTGACTCGTGTGCACTCAAACTGCCTCGTGTGCACTCAAACTGACTCGTGTGCACTCAAACTGACTCGTGTGCACTCAAACTGACTCGTGTGCACTCAAACTGACTCGTGTGCACTCAAACTGACTCGTGTGCACTCAAACTGACTCGTGTGCACTCAAACTGACTCGTGTGCACTCAAACTGACTCGTGTGCACTCAAACTGACTCGTGTGCACTCAAACTGACTCGTGTGCACTCAAACTGACTCGTGTGCACTCAAACTGACTCGTGTGCACTCAAACTGACTCGTGTGCACTCAAACTGACTCGTGTGCACTCAAACTGACTCGTGTGCACTCAAACTGACTCGTGTGCACTCAAACTGACTCGTGTGCACTCAAACTGACTCGGCTGATTTCTTCCCCTGGTCTCAGCTCAGACATTCGCTCTCACTCAAACCTCGCTGTCGAGTCTGTCCCGGGCCGCAGGGCTTTGATTTCTCTCATCCGGCCCCAACTGCCTGGAAGCGGTCTGATGCCACCTCAGTATCAGGCTGATTGACTCGTGTCTTTACATTTTAAAAATGTATCAGGAAATGTTGTCTCTACCCATTGATGCCACGTAACCTCTCTCTAACAATTTATTTCTTACAAAGTAATAATGAAAATTTTAATGTTTCATTTTTCTAGTCTGTGTTAATGTGTTATATTTGCACAGCTATATTAATCCAGTTTAACACGCAGGCTTTCGCGACCAATATCATCCATAATACAGGTTTTTTGGGTTAGATCGCAAAAATATATAAATGTGTCGTTAAACCCGCTACCGCCCGACACAGCCAACTAATAAGGGTTGTCATGTAAACAGAACGTGGCCAATTTGTCACTAGTACAGCACGCCGGTGTGTTGAAGAGCAAAGCCACAACATTTACAATCTGAGTACGACGTTTCGCCAGTAATTACAACTAGCTTCATAAGGCGACAGCCATATTTGTGTATATTTACGCGATCTAACCCAAAAACCGGTATTATGGATGATATTAATCCACACTTTCTGTGGAACTGGTGATCTGTCGCCGCCATCTTTCCAGAAGTCCCTTGAAATTGAGATGCGAATCTCATCCTGGTCAAATACATTTGACACGACTCTGTTACAATGATGATGATGATTATTTACAGGCGTGAAGTTGCGGAGCATTCTAAAAGTAGGCGATCATGAGAGCCCAAATTAAAATGGGATAAAGCGGCACATCGAAGTGTTCCCGAGGGAGATAGTGTCGGCTTAGAGCACGGACGAATTGCATTGATCAAAGGAACTTTACATAAACTTTGTAGACGCGAGAGAAGGGCGACAGCAGCCTCTAGGTTGCGTTTAATGTGGGATGTGTCGACTGCCTTCGAGCTTTGCATGAATATTCAATTGGGGAGCGGCGGCGCAGCGATTAGCGCGCTGCGCCGCGAACCCCGGCGACCCACGGGTTCGATTCCCAACACCAGTGACGAATATCTGAACCGGTCCTGGGCCTCCCCTAGGTCGACTGAGCCTCAAATGAGCACCTTGTGCGGTGCGTAGTAAACATCGCCATTGGGGAGACAAAGGCGGTCGCGCATGGTACTGGCCACCCACCCCCTCGTGCACCGTGCCGGCCTTTATTAGGTGCCACTCGCTACTCACGGCACTTTCCCCAACAGTCTGCTCAGGCTACACGGCGAGGTGTTGAAGGTGTTCAACAATGCAGCCCCTTGCGTGACGCCAGTGCCGTTGTGAAGGCGACGCAGGGGTCGCGTGGTGCGCTCGAGTGGAGCGCGGAGGTTCACGCTGTTGTTGGACTCCTTCGTCCCTCGCGCCCACGCAGGTTCTCATCCTGGCGAACAACAAGATCTCCAAGATCCACCCGAAGGCGTTTCTGCCCCTGGTGAGCCTCGACCGCCTGTATCTGTCAAAGAACCAGCTCGAGGAGGTGCCGCCCAACTTGCCCAAATACCTCACCGAGCTGCGCCTCTACGAGAACCGCATTTCCAAGGTGCCGAGGGAGATCTTTTACGGACTCAAGCGTCTGAACGCGATAGGTGCGTATCCCAGAAGGGCGCTCATCACGCGGCACCCCCCGTGCCCACGCAGTCGCATCGCCACCAGATTGGCGCAGAGTGGCCACAGCACAGGGGCATAGTCACGTGCCGAGTCCACTCTGACATCACCACACGAGTTAAATCTTGGAACTGCGTGATACTTGTGACCCAATGACACAAACGACCCCGCGATGCTAGCGACCCCACGACCCCACGACCCTAGCGACCCCACGACCCCGCGACCCTAGCGACCCCATGACCCCACGACCCCACGACCCCGTGACCCCGCGACCCATGACGCTAGCAACCCTGTGACCCTAGTGACCCTGTGACCCTAGTGACCCTGTGACGCGAGCGTCTCCATGACATTTGCGACCCTGTGTCATCATGATGCTGTTTTTTGTAAGACTTTATCCAGACCCTTGCTCCCCAGTTGGTCTGCTGATGTATTTGGAATTGTGATCGATTGATTACGATAAAACCTATGTTTGTTGGTGTGTGTTCACAATGGTCATAAAAGTATGACTTCATTCACTGTTTAGGCAAATATTAAACTGACCATCCTGTGAGTATTACAAATTCATTATTTCTTGCCAATCGTGCAGAGATGGGAAACAATCCTCTGCAGAACAGCGGAATAGACGTCGGCTCCTTCAAGGGATTGGATCGCCTCACCTACATCCGTCTGTCTGACAGCGAGCTCAGCACCATCCCCAAAGGTGCGTACAGACCCCTCGGCGTGCTGGCGGAAAACTCCGTCAGCACGACGCGGCCTCGACGCGTCGTGAGCGCGTCGGGTAGAGTGCACGTCCCGAACGTGCCCCCGGCCCCCCGATGTGATGCTGATGGGGGAGTGGCGGGTGAGCAGTGGACTCTGAGCGCCGTGTCGCCGTGCCGTGTCACCGTGTCGCCGTGCCGTATCACCTTCCCATGTGACCGTGCCGTGTCGCCGTGTTGCCGTGTCACCTTCCCATGTCGCCGTGCCGTGTCACCGTGTCGCCGTGCCGTGTCACCTTCCCATGTGACCGTGCCGTGTCACCGTGTCGCCGTGCCGTGTCACATTCCCATGTGACCGTGCTGTGCTGTCGTCCTCAGGGCTACCGGCCTCCCTCAATGAGCTCCACTTGGACGGCAACAAGATCACCGCTATCGGGGACAGCGACCTCAAGGGCCTGGACCACCTCACCAGGTGACACCACCTGCATACCACACACCGGTATCACCAATTCAAGAAACGCATCAATTCTCACGAGTCACTGCTGTGATGGCGCTGTTTGTTGCATTGCCGCTTGGTGAGGTATGCCCATCCAGTCCCCCTGTAGCATCTAAAACGTTTCAACCCTTCGCTAAAATCCGCCAGCAGCCGGCTCATGGGCAGAATCCGCGACTTGTTCCAGCACCGTGAGGCGCTCATGAGCGTTGTGTGCCCACAGGCTCGGTCTCAGCCACAACAAGATCAGCTCCGTCAAGGACGGGAGTCTCACCCACGCCAGCCGCCTCCTTGAGCTGCACCTCGACTCAAATCAGCTGAGCCGTGTGCCGCCGGGCCTGGCCAATCTCAAGCTCATCATGGTAGGGTGACCCTCACCCAGCCGCTCACCCTGACACTCACCCTCACCCAGCCGCTCACCCTGACACTCACCCTCACCCAGCCACTCACCCTGACACTCACCCTCACCCAGCCGCTCACCCTGCCACTCACCCTCACCCAGCCCCTCACCCTCACCCAGCCGCTCACCCTCACCTTGTCACTCACCCTGCCACTCACCCTGACCCAGCCACTCACCCTCACCCAGCCGCTCACCCAGCCACTCACCCTCACCTTGTCACTCACCCTCACCCTGCCACTCACCCAGCTCACCCTGCCACTCACCCTCACCCTGCCACTCACCCTCACCCTGCCACTCACCCTCACCCTGCCGCTCACCCTCACCCTCCCACTCACCCTCACCCTGCCACTCACCCTCACCTTGTCACTCACCCTGACACTCACCCTCACCCTGCCACTCACCCTGACCCAGCCCCTCACCCTCATCCTGCCACTCACCCTCACCAAGCCGCTCACCCTCACCCTGCCACTCACCCTCATCCTGCCGCTCACCCTCACCTTGTCACTCACCCTGCCACTCACCCTGACCCAGCCCCTCACCCTCATCCTGCCACTCACCCTCACCCAGCCACTCACCCTGACACTCACCCTCACCCAGCCGCTCACCCTGACACTCACCCTCACCCCGCCACTCACCCTGACACTCACCCTCACCCAGCCGCTCACCCTGCCACTCACCCTCACCCAGCCCCTCACCCTCACCCAGCCACTCACCCTCACCTTGTCACTCACCCTGCCACTCACCCTGACCCAGCCACTCACCCTCACCCAGCCGCTCACCCAGCCACTCACCCTCACCTTGTCACTCACCCTCACCCTGCCACTCACCCTCACCCTGCCACTCACCCTCACCCTGCCACTCACCCTCACCCTGCCACTCACCCTGCCGCTCACCCTCACCCTCCCACTCACCCTCACCCTGCCACTCACCCTCACCTTGTCACTCACCCTGACACTCACCCTCACCCTGCCACTCACCCTGACCCAGCCCCTCACCCTCATCCTGCCACTCACCCTCACCCAGCCGCTCACCCTCACCCTGCCACTCACCCTCATCCTGCCGCTCACCCTCACCTTGTCACTCACCCTGCCACTCACCCTGACCCAGCCCCTCACCCTCATCCTGCCACTCACCCTCACCCAGCCGCTCACCCTCACCCTGCCACTCACCCTCACCCTGCCGCTCACCCTCCCACTCACCCTCACCCTGCCACTCACCCTCACCCTGCCACTCACCCTCACCCTGCCACTCACCCTCACCCTGCCACTCACCCTCACCCTGCCACTCACCCTCACCCTGCCGCTCACCCTCACCCAGCCACTCACCCTCACCCAGCCCCTCACCCTGCCACTCACCCTGACCAAGCCCCTCACACTCACCCTGCCACTCACCCTCACCCTGCCACTCACCCTCACCCAGCCACTCACCCTCACCCTGCCACTCACCCTCACCCAGCCCCTCACCCTCACCCTGCCACTCACCCTCACCCTGCCTCTCACCCTGCCACTCACCCTCACCCTGCCTCTCACCCTCACCCTGCCAATCACCCTCACCCTGCCACTCACCCTCACCCTGCCGTTCACCCAGCCTCTCACCCTCACCCTGCCACTCACCCTCACCCAGCCACTCACCCTCACCCTGCCACTAACCCTCACCCTGCCACTCACCCTCACCCAGCCCCTCACCCTTACCCAGCCTCTCACCCTCACCCTGCCACTCACCCTGCCACTCACCCTCACCCAGCCACTCACCCTGCCACTCACCCTCACCCTGCCTCTCACCCTGCCACTCACCCTCACCCTGCCTCTCACCCTGCCAATCACCCTCACCCTGCCACTCACCCTCACCCTGCCACTCACCCTCACCCAGCCTCTCACCCTCACCCTGCCACTCACCCTCACCCAGCCTCTCACCCTCACCCTGCCACTCACCCTCACCCAGCCCCTCACCCTTACCCAGCCTCTCACCCTCACCCTGCCACTCACCCTCACCCTGCCACTCACCCTCACCCAGCCGCTCACCCTCACCTTGTCACTCACCCTGCCACTCACCCTGACCCAGCCACTCACCCTCACCCAGCCGCTCACCCAGCCACTCACCCTCACCTTGTCACTCACCCTCACCCTGCCACTCACCCTCACCCTGCCACTCACCCTCACCCTGCCGCTCACCCTCACCCTCCCACTCACCCTCACCCTGCCACTCACCCTCACCTTGTCACTCACCCTGACACTCACCCTCACCCTGCCACTCACCCTGACCCAGCCCCTCACCCTCACCCTGCCACTCACCCTCACCAAGCCGCTCACCCTCACCCTGCCACTCACCCTCATCCTGCCGCTCACCCTCACCTTGTCACTCACCCTGCCACTCACCCTGACCCAGCCCCTCACCCTCATCCTGCCACTCACCCTCACCCAGCCACTCACCCTGACACTCACCCTCACCCAGCCGCTCACCCTGACACTCACCCTCACCCAGCCACTCACCCTGACACTCACCCTCACCCAGCCGCTCACCCTGCCACTCACCCTCACCCAGCCCCTCACCCTCACCCAGCCGCTCACCCTCACCTTGTCACTCACCCTGCCACTCACCCTGACCCAGCCACTCACCCTCACCCAGCCGCTCACCCAGCCACTCACCCTCACCTTGTCACTCACCCTCACCCTGCCACTCACCCTCACCCTGCCACTCACCCTCACCCTGCCACTCACCCTCACCCTGCCACTCACCCTGCCGCTCACCCTCACCCTCCCACTCACCCTCACCCTGCCACTCACCCTCACCTTGTCACTCACCCTGACACTCACCCTCACCCTGCCACTCACCCTGACCCAGCCCCTCACCCTCATCCTGCCACTCACCCTCACCCAGCCGCTCACCCTCACCCTGCAACTCACCCTCATCCTGCCGCTCACCCTCACCTTGTCACTCACCCTGCCACTCACCCTGACCCAGCCCCTCACCCTCATCCTGCCACTCACCCTCACCCAGCCGCTCACCCTCACCCTGCCACTCACCCTCACCCTGCCGCTCACCCTCACCCTGCCGCTCACCCTCACCCTCCCACTCACCCTCACCCTGCCACTCACCCTCACCCTGCCACTCACCCTCACCCTGCCACTCACCCTCACCCTGCCACTCACCCTCACCCTGCCACTCACCCTCACCCTGCCGCTCACCCTCACCCAGCCACTCAACCTCACCCAGCCCCTCACCCTGCCACTCACCCTCACCAAGCCCCTCACACTCACCCTGCCACTCACCCTCACCCTGCCACTCACCCTCACCCAGCCACTCACCCTCACCCTGCCACTCACCCTCACCCAGCCCCTCACCCTCACCCTGCCACTCACCCTCACCCTGCCTCTCACCCTGCCACTCACCCTCACCCTGCCTCTCACCCTCACCCTGCCAATCACCCTCACCCTGCCACTCACCCTCACCCTGCCGTTCACCCAGCCTCTCACCCTCACCCTGCCACTCACCCTCACCCAGCCACTCACCCTCACCCTGCCACTCACCCTCACCCTGCCACTCACCCTCACCCAGCCCCTCACCCTTACCCAGCCTCTCACCCTCACCCTGCCACTCACCCTGCCACTCACCCTCACCCAGCCACTCACCCTGCCACTCACCCTCACCCTGCCTCTCACCCTGCCACTCACCCCTCACCCTGCCGTCTCACCCTGCCAATCACCCTCACCCTGCCACTCACCCTCACCCTGCCACTCACCCTCACCCAGCCTCTCACCACCTCACCCTGCCCTCCCTCACCCGCACTCCAGCTCTCACCCTCACCCTGCCACTCACCCTCACCCAGCCCCTCACCCCTTACCCAGCCGCCTCATCACCCTCACCTTGCCACTCACCCAACCCTGCCCCTCACCCTCACCCAGCCACTTACCCAGCCACTCACCCTCACCCTGCACTCACCCCTCACCCAGCCACTCACCCTCACCCTGCCACTCACCCTCATCCTGCCACTCACCCTCACCCAGCCACTCACCCAGCCACTCACCCTCACCCTGCCACTCATCCTCACCCAGCCACTCACCCTCACCCTGCCACTCACCCACCTCACCCTGCCACTCACCCACCTCACCCTGCCACTCACCCACCTCACCCTGCCACTCACCCACCTCACCCTGCCACTCACCCACCTCACCCTGCCACTCACCCAGCCACTCACCCTCACCCAGACCACTCACCCTCACCCAGCCCTCACACCTCACCCAGCACTCACCAGCCACTCACCCTCACCCTGCCACTCACCCTCCCCTGCCACTCCCCTCAACCCAGCCACTCACCAGCCACTCACCTCACCCTGCCACTCACCCACCTCACCCTGCCACTCACCTTCACCCTGCCACTCACCCAGCCACTCACCCTCACCCTGCCACTCACCCTCACACAGCCACTCACCCTCACCCTGCCTCTCACCCTCACCCTGCCACTCACCCTCACCCTGCCACTCACCCTCACCCCTGCCTCTCACCCTCACCCTGCCACTCACCCTCACCTTGCCACTCACCCTCACCCTGCCACTCACCCTCACCCTGCCACTCACCCTCACCCAGCCGCTCACCCTCACCCAGCCCCTCACCCTGCCACTCACCCTCACCCTGCCACTCACCCTCACCCAGCCCACTCACCCTCACCCTGCCACTCACCCTCAACCCTGCCTCTCCCCTCACCCTGCCTTCTCACCCAGCCACTCACCTCACCCTGCCACTCACCCTCACCCAGCCACTCACCCTCACCCTGCCACTCACCCTCACCCTGCCACTCACCCTCACCCAGCCACTCACCCAGCCACTCACCCTCACCCTGCCACTCACCCTCACCCAGCCACTCACCCTCACCCTGCCACTCACCCTCACCCTGCCACTCACCCTCACCAGCCACTCACCCAGCCACTCACCCTCACCCTGCCACTCACCCTCACCCTGCCACACC